GACAGAATGACCGCTTCTACTCTGTAGGCCTTCTTCTGTCTTTTGGCTTGTCGTCCAGCGCAGGTGTTTGCCTTGAGAGCAAGCTGATAGGGTAGCAAGGTGGGCAGCAAACAGGAAGCTTTTCATAGCACTTTATAGCATTGATAGGCAAATGTTAGCAAACGGAATTTTACTGCTGCAATGGTTTAATAGAAACTGTTGTCAACACAGTGAACTCCAGCGACATCCTATCTTCTTTCTGAACAGGTTTCTGCAAGGCACCCTGTATTACTTGAGTTTGTTTCATTTCTTTTCATTTTGTCTTCTAAAAGGGAAACATCCCCAAGGTCTTTTTTTTATTTTAAGAGAGAATAGGTCAAGACAAGCAGGAATATTGCCTGTATGTCACTGGACACTGTAACCCTAACACACACTGGCCAGGCAGCCCCGCCTTTCTTCAGCGAGTTGCGTTTTTCTCTCAGCCAAACCCATCTCAAATGACCCCGACCCGTGAAAAGTGGAAAGAATGAGATATTTAAGAAGGGCATTACGCACGTCTGCACCAGCTTCATAGGCGGCTTGGTGGCTTGATCGCTCTCTCTGAAAGCGCGCACGGCGCGGGCAAACTGCCTGCAGGCGGGCAGGAATGTTAGAGGATGCGTCGGACTTGCTGGGACCTGTCAGGACCGAGACGATGCTGTGCCGGGAGAGCACCGCCGTGCCAGCCCCGCCGTCGGAGCGCCGAGACGAGCCAGAGGGGTCCCGAAGGAGGAGAGAGGGAAAATCAGCGCTGCTCACCGTGCGGGCCGGGAGAGCGAGGGGCCGACCGCCGTGCTCCGAGGTGCTGCCCTAGCCCGCACCGTTCCGCGCCATCCCAGCCTAGCTGGACTGCTGGGAACGGCATCTCCCCTGGCAGCACACCCAGGCTGGCACAGCAGGTCCTGGAGCTCGTGCCAGCGCCCTGGAAGAAAGCCAGCGGGCACCGGGGCTAAGCCACAGCTGTGGAACACAGCGCTCGGTACCTGACTTGGCAAGGTTAGCCTTTGACCCTTTGGTATCAAACCCTTCTGGGCGGCCTGTCCTGTATCTGTGCTGCAATGTTCACTCTCCTTGTGCCAATTTCGAATGGAAGAAATTCAAACTCCTGGTAAGAGTGCTTCCCTGCTCACCAGGTGCCTTCCAATCAAAGGCTCTTCTCTAATAATCCCGGAGCCCAGTGGGATGGCTTGTCTGGGCGCGCACTTGCACCAGTGCTACCGAAGCCCTTTTATCAGGCAAACTCAAACTGCAAGCAGGAAAAGGCTGCTGTACTGCATGCCACAAGTCAACGTTTTGGAAAAAGCAAGTGCTGCACGGGTCACGGGTTCGCTCTTCTTGAGCCTTGCGCTCTGCAGGCTGAGTTGATCTTTCCCAGTGGCGAGATGAGAAAAGAGAGATGCCAGGCTTTCTGAGCTCCACCAATCTACAGCGCCCTGCCAGTCGGATCAAGGGTGGAGCCTTCGCCGACTTTTAACGGCCTCTGTCTACGGACGTGTTGCAGCAGAATGAAACCCAAACCACATTCTCACTTCAGGGCAGGAAGAGGCGGGGTCCAGCATCAACACCGCGCCCGCCAGCACAACGCCAGACACAGTCTTCTCTGTTTTCATTTGCCAAAACCAGCTTGGAGCAATTGGAGACTTGGAGGTGGCTGTAGAATTCCCTGCAGTCAGGCGTTTTTGGTGTTGATGCTACAGAAAAAGGAGAGGCTGCGGTATAGTGTGAAAAACCTGTATGAGAATCAGCATGCAGGGGTACCTTTCCTGTACCATCTGCTGAAGTCTGAGCTGTCTGACCCAGGGCGTTAAGAACAAATATACTAGGCAATCAAAAAAGAAAACACTAGCTTGTTCTACAATTCCATTTTCATAAGGACTTTTTTAACAGCACCTGGTGGAGACTTATCTAACAACAGAAGGGAGAGATAGACTGTTAGAAGGCAGGTTTTGTGATGAAAGCTCCGTGGCGCTATCTTTTTAATCTGGGGATGTAAGTCACAGAGAAGCACAAACACGCCAGGCAGTTGCATCAGTGCTAATCTCCGAGCACAGCAAATACAAACGCAGCTCTGAGAAACCACACACAGCCCCATTTCCCTAGCAACGCCCAGAGAGGGGCTTTTTCTGCACGGACGCAGGTGTGTCCGCCTGCCAGCGGCCGGCTCTTACAGCAGCAGCGTCGCCCGAGTCGAGACCCGGCCAGAGCGCCGAACACCCGCCAGTGCCCGTCTTGGCACAGGAAATGCAATGAGAGCCGACACTCCCCAGGGTTAGCTGATAAAACAACATTGAGGTAACACAGAGAGCCCCGCCAGTCTGATTCTACTCTTCACCTCTCGTGTGCACCACTGACAACACACTCCAATGGACTGTGCCTGCAGTGTCATTCTCCTGTCTCAATCCCGTCTCAATCTTCACTCCTGCTGAGCTCTTGTCTGCTTAACCGAGCAGAGCTTAGCCTTTAATTGAACACATGATCTTAATTAACCTTTTCAATAGTGTTCCATTCATGAGCGGTCAGAGGCTTCAATCACCTGTGCAAATTAAGTAAATTAAATCTATAACATTTTAGTGGCATTAAAACGAATTCTGACTGAGCAAATTATTTGTTCAATTACGGATTCAATTAAGTAATGCAGGGGCTGTGGATCAGGAGGCCTATCGAGGACTGAATTGACTCGCACACCTGCCAGGCTGCCAGCTACTGGAGGAGACTGGGGCAGGCCTGGGAAGTGCCTGTGGCTCTTCCACTTTCAGGGGTGGGAAATCTATCCTCTGCTGCCCAGCCAGTGTAAATTTCAACTCCAGCCGGAATCGCAGTTCCTGTATTTTTGCTATTGCTGTCGTTTAAAGGAGAGTTGAACACAATCACAATCACAATCAAAGCTACAGCTTTTTCGACAAAAACACGCCATTAAACAGACATTTCACTTCGGGTTAAACCGCGCTTGGCTCGTGAAGCTGCTGGCTTCAGCCGCAGAGAACTTTGTTACAGTCCGTCAGAAGCAGGCTGGGCCGCTCAGCACACGGGTCACCCCGACATCCGGAGGTCACACAGCTGCTCCCCGCTAGGGACTTCCATACTGACAGAGCAGGCGGAGGGGCCCGCTGCCTGCGCTCTGCGGACCACACACCTGAGTCAGGCAGGAGGCCCCAGCTCCAGAACCCCGGCTACACCCTCGTGCCCCGCTGAGGCCGGACTGTCCCCCTCCTCGGCAGGGGTGCCCCCCACGTTACCAGGAAGCCCCTGGACACTGATACCGTGACGGAACTGGTCCAGAACAACAGCAACGCCCTCCCCAACCCAGGATGTCTCCGAGCACACAGGGGATTCCTGCTCGCTAAAAACAAAGCAGCTAAAACGTCAGTGCATGCCCAGAACAAGGAAACTGCAAAGCCACAAGCAGCAAAACAGAACCAACCTGAAACTGTTCGGACCAGATCTGCCAAAACACAAGAGTTACACAGGTGGGGCATACCACACCCCACATACACGCACGCACGCACGCACGCACGCACGCACGCACGCACGCACGCACGCACGCACGCACGCACACACACACAGACTGCCCCTGCCACTGCCACTGCCACTTCGATCCATAAAGAAGCAGCACTAGAGGCTTACTTACTTACTGTCCAGTTCAGCAACACAGCTTGCTGCTCTCGACCGCACAAGGATACTGAGACCCGGCCAGCCTCCACAGGACACGAGCACACGCCACAACACGCAAGACAGAGCGGGGCGGCCCCCGCGCTCTCACCCCTGCGGACACGCGCCGGGCGCCATACCTCCTCCGCGTCCAGACCCTGCCGGCCGTCCGGGGCCAGCGCCGCGAGGCAGGACGGAAGCAGGGGGCTCCGGCCCGGCTCGGACGAATCCAAAAACATGCAACGGGCCAGCGGTTGGGGGGGGGGATGGGGGGAGGGCCAACCCAAGCAGAGCAGCACGCGCGATCTGCTGCCCCCAGTCTGAACGCTTTCATGGAAAAGCTCTGCCTTCTGCAGCAATAGGTGAGCACGTCCTCGCCGGCACTTATCCACTCGGGCACTGTCATTAGTGTTACGCAACGCCCTTGAGCTGAAAGCACAAAGAACACTCGAGAAAAAAGGATAAAGACACCCACGCAGGCGCGCACACGCACACACACACACAGGCTCACGCTGAAGACCCCCAAACCTTGGGCAGCGCGCGGGGGAATGGCCGTCCTGGGTGAGCCAATGACCAGCTCCTGCGACGGGCCAGACAGCCGCCCATGTGAAGCGATGCAGCTCCACAACGGCACGCCGAGGAGCAGCTCACGGCGCCATGGCATCCTGGAAATTAACCAATTAAGCAAACGAGGAAGCGACAGCCCTTTTCCGCGAGGAGGCTAAGTACTTGTAGCACCGCGACAACCAAGGCCACTTCTGCGCCACCCCCACCCCCACCCCCGGCTAGCCCTGAGCGGGGGGGCTCTGTTCAAGTGCAGGCAGGAACTCCGCCACTCGCACCGAGAGCAAAACCTGGGAATATCCGGCTCGTCACAGCTCCCCAGCCCACGAGAGCCGCCAAAAATAAAAAAAAGGCCCACCTCATCACGAGCGATACGTGAAACCTTCGCCGAAAAACACCCTCGCCCCCCCCAGGCAACGTTTTAACAAGGCCTTTCCTTTGTTCTGTTTGTTTTTCGGTATCATTTGTCACGGCAGAGGCAGGTATTAATCTCTGCGCGCAGACCCGCGCAGGCCTCACAGGTTTCGGAGCCGCAGGGCTAGGGGATCGAGAGCAGGGCAGCCTGGGAGGAGCGGCAGAACAAACCAGAGACCCCTGGTCCCCTAGTCCCCCCACATCCCCCGCTCTCTCGTCCCCCGCTGGGCGCCCCAGCTGTCGCTCCTCTGCTTTCTGTGCAGAGGGGCGCAGTCTCAGGGTGTCCACTGCTTGCACCTCACCAAGAGAAACCCCCAATCCTAGCCAAGGAACACAGGAGGTTCTCAACACATCACCTCAAGATCTGGCCACGTCGCCCTGCAACTCCCAGATGGCAGCCCACTGGAGCTCAGCAGGTGTGAGCCTGGTCAGGACCTGGATAGATAGATAAGAATTTATTGATCCCAAAGGGAAATTGATGATGGGAGACCTCCTGAGAAAAGCTAAGGCTGCTGCTGGAACAGGTGTTGGTGGGGCCAGCAGGGGACCTCACCCTGCGGCCTGTGTGTTTCCTCGTGCTCCAGTTGTAAAAAGGTGCCGTCCTTCAGATGAGACATGAAACCGAGGTCCTGACTCTCTGTGGTCATTCAAAATAAATTTCATCTCAAAAAGAGTAGGGGTGTAACCCCGGCGTCCTGGCCAAATCTCCCCCTAGCCTCTACCAGTCAGGGCCTCCAAAAATCCCCATCTCTGAACTGGCTTCATCACTCTGCTCTCCTCCCCACTGAGAGCTGGTGTGTGGGGAGTGTACTGGTGCACTATGGCTGCCGTCGCATCATCCAGGTGGGGCTGCAAATTGGTGGTGCTGGAGGGGATCCCCATTACCTGTACAGCGCTTTGAGTGGAGTGTCCAGAAAAGCACGATAGAAGTGTAAGCAATTATTATCATCTGTCCTTGCAATATGGGACTGGCGTACCTATGCTGCCCACACATCCTATTAAGGCAAAGAGAGGCTCGCCTGCACCAAGCAGAGATTGCTCTGTGTCGCCTGCATCAGCCTCGTCCAAGCAGAGAGTGCTTCAGCCGAGCGGCACAGAGCAATCAGCGCCTGTTCATATACACGGAGCAGCCAGACCAGCTCTGCTTTTACTCAGTCCTGTGTTTTATTAAAGGGTTTAATCTGTGTTTTGATTGACTTTATCATCAACTCCAGTTATTAGGCCTGGCCCAGGGAGAAGCATGGGTAAAGAATGAGCCCTGTGTTTCAGGTCTGGGCTCTCTGTTTGCACAGATGGCTCCACTCTGGAACATGTCAGCCCTGCTGGCTAGCTTCTTTCACAGGAATGGCTGCAACACAAGAGTGTCAGGGATGTCTGGATAAAACGACCCCAGCCATCTCATTGAAAGCGATTCCCTGGGATCCCTCAAAAACCATCTTGATGACATTTTTTTAGCCTTCTTAGAAGCTGTGAAAAGATTAAGAACCACTGAGACTTATCAAACAGCTTCTTTAGACAGCCTGGTGTTCGCCGACATCACTGGGGACATTGAAACTAAGATCTGTGTAAGGGGGTGCTGTTCTAGCCCTGGAACAGGTACAGGACTCATTGGAAACTTCTGTATAATTTAGTCCTAAAGAAATGCATGAACTCTTTCAAGTTGAAGCTCTAAAATTTGTATTTTTCCACACTGGAAGCTCCATTTTATTAGGCAGAAGCCTAATCATACTGGTGTTGCAATATCAGGACTACATAACGAAACAACATTCCTCTTTGAAAGTAAAAAAAAAACACTATCACTTTCAAAGCATAAGGGGTATGTGTCTTTTCCAGCAGATTTTTTTTTGACAGTGTTACAAAGCCATTGCGATACCACTTACACTTCGGGAGCTTCCTATCCTTGCTGATGAACAATGGGAAAAGTAAAGGAAAAGCAGGGAGTCTGTCCTACAGGATAACCCCATCCCGCCCCCTCACCACATCTGGGCCTGTTTTCTTTACTAATGGATGTGCGATAACACAGGCGTGCCAAAACAAAATGTCTCAGGCAGCAGTGCAATCACACAACGTCTCACCATAAAGTGCAACACACTCCTCAAGTAAATCAAGGACTAGAAAGCAGTGGCCAGACGGTTTCAGAAATTAAGACAAATACCAAAAGAAAGCAATGCTTTATGAATTGATTAGAAAAGACCACAGTCTGGGGAAAGAAGACTAGTGCATCCCCAGCCCAGGTGATCAAAGATACGAGAAAGGCCAGCAGGGAAAAACATTGCAACAGTAGTAAATTAAAAGCCAACCTGAGCCACTTGAGCAGAGCTTTCGAATTGTTTATGAGCGTGTTGAGGCTAACTGATAGCATCTCATCTGATCCCTCACATATTCTGCATGAACAATACCGACTGATGCCTTCAAACAGACATCTCAGAGTCCCTCGAGGCAGACACAACAAAATGAGCCATCTCTTTCTCCCACACTCAATCAATGAGTTCACAATAAAGGAGGCCGGTTTATTTGGTTGGTATTGGTTTATAGGCCAGTGCACTCAGTGGTTCTGAAGGAGTGATGTACAATAACAGGGGCTCAGGCTGATTGTGGGGGCAGTAAACATACAGGCTCTGTTGAGCTGTGGAGCTCCCAGTAGGAGAACCTACTGCAAAATGAGTTTCTGAGCAATGAGATACTGAAATATTATCAGATGGTACAATCGCTTCATCTGGGACCGAGAAGACGACAATGGGGTCTCAATCAACTGTTTACCATGCCCTAGCGCTCACTCGGGGGTCGAGATCGCACACAGCAGAGTGAGACCCCTCCAGAGGGATGGTGAGGAAGGCACAGGTCACTCGCACTTCTGGGGCAGCCGGACAACGCGTCCGCTGGCCACAAAGCTCCTCTGCTCATCCTGACCGCCCTACAGCAGGACACCCGCGGCGTTTCGGCCACCCACAGCCAGCAACGCAGATCGGTAAGTGTGGGGACAGCTGTTCTGACACTGCTGAGAGGAACAGAAAGGGAATATTATGGGCAGGGTGTCGCCGAGACTGGGGTTGTGGGCTCTGCAGCTCTGAGCCTGATGGGCTCCTGACTCTGGGTGCCAGCCAGCTGGCAATGCTGGGGCCCAGGAGTCTCCGTACCCCGCCTCTCAGGACAGAAGGGAGCTTCTGGCGTGTGTGTGACAGAAGGGGGGGGGGGGGGGGAGTCTGTTAAACGCCTTCCTGAACTCCAGGAAAACAGCCATGGAAAAACTCCGGCACCCCGCCCTGCCTAGCACAATACAGCGAGGGATCTCCACATTGTTCTGCGGCAATCCGTGCCATCCCCTGGTCCAGGCGCAGGAAAGATCTGCCATGCGAGGCCTTTCCTGAAACACTCGCAGCCAAGCTGCTTCGCGGCCGATTCCTGAAACAAACTAACAGTGCACCGAGCACTCCCGTCGAGACAGAAACCGGCTGAAATCTCAGCTGAAAGAAGGATGATCACAGACTGCAAGCACATCTGCTACCACGTTCCTCTGAAGAAACCCTTCCAAGCAGAAGGACTGCTGCTGGAAATGTCGACAGTGGACCAGCAGGTGGCACTCTTGCTTCTGGGCAAGTTCCAAACCAACGCACCAGTATAGTGACACTGTACTGTAGGAGGGGCTGACCTTCAGACTAGACGTCTGTGTAGGGCCTGACGACGTGGTCTTTACAGATTCAGTAACAGTGTTCGTTAAGCCAGGGGTGTTAACCCCAGTGTCCAGGCTGAGCAGGGCTCTGGGCTTGTACGATCCGACCTACTTGAAGCTCCTTGTCAATCCAGCTGGTGATCGGGGAGCAGAATTGCTGCCACGTGTCACCCAGGTGACGGCTGCACTTTCTTGGTTGAAAAAGTGGGTCCCCTCCTGTGCGAGAGGAACCTTAGCATCACTACAGATACGTAAAGACTTATATTAAGAAGCCGCGTGCCAACCCCCTTCCCCCAGAAAGAAGATAACAGGATTTCAGTTCTCTGCCTCTACAGATAGCTGACCCAAATCGGTTTCCTTTCCCAGATTTGCCTAGCACAGCCCGTGGACAA